CGGGGGGGGGGGCGGGGCGACATACTGTGGCCATCTGGCGCTCCAGGCGCCCGAGAGAGTCGCGATCGAAGATGTCCGGCGTGACAAGCGGCGGCTCCCGGGCCGCGGGCGTGGCCGCCGAAGCGGCGCCATACGCGTACCGGCGGGTGTCGCCATCCGGCAGGGACGCCCCCCCGGTGGCGGCCTGCCGGGCATCGGCCTGGACGCCGGCATGCACCGGGCCCCGGGGGGGCTGATACACATCGGCCACGCGAATGGCCAGCGACTCGCGCGCCGACACCAAGAAGCGCTTCGGCACACGGGCCGGGGCCGGGGCCGGGGCACCCGCTGGCCCAGCCGGCCGGGAGGAGGAGGAGGAGGAGGAGGAGGAGGACGAGAGATCCAGCCCTGGCAGAGGGAGAAGCGCCCCCGGCAAAGGGGACCCCGGCCTCGGGGACCAGCGCGTCGGCTGAAGAAGGTGCGATTCGGGCAGGGGCCCGCCAGCCGGGCTGCCGCCAGGATGTAAGCGCGGCCGTTTGGCCGCCGGGTATGCCCTGCCGGTTTGGGGGCTGTCGGCGTCAGGCGGCGGGCCGGGGTCCGCCTCCGAAGCGGACCCGAGGCCGGGAGACCGGCCCCTCGGCCCGAGGTGCAGCGGCGCCAAGACCGGGCTTCGCGGCGACACCCCCAGGGCATGGGGCGAGACGCCGGCGCGGTCGGGGCTGGTGCGTGCTCCGGTGCCAGTGGCCGGGGAGCTGCGCATTTGATGTGAAGGTGATGCGTGAGAGGGCGATGCCGCGGTGGGGGCCGCTGCCGCGGTGGGAGCCATTCCCGACACGACCCCGTCAGTTGGAGTGGCTGTCGGTGAGGCGGCAGCGGCGGCAGCGGGAGCAGTGGCGGCAGCGGCGGCAGCGGGAGCAGTGGCGGCAGCGGCGGCAGCGGGAGCAGTGGCGGCAGCGGCGGTAGCGGGAGCGGCGGCAGCGGCGGTAGCGGCAGCGGCAGCGTCAACAATAGCAGCAGCGGCAGCAGCGGCAGCGGCGACAGGGGCAGCAGCAGCAGCGGGAGCAGCGTCAATAGCGGCAGTGGCAGCGGCACCGGCAGGAGCAAGGGAAGCATGTGCGATCGGTCGTGGTGGGCCTCCAGTGCCAGGTAGTTGACATGGGGGAAGCCACGTACTGCCCAGGAGAATCGGCAGATACCAGCCGGGTTTCGCATCCAGTAATTCGCCCGAAGCAATGGCCGCGCGGCGCTCGGCCTCTGCGAAGCAGCCACAGCGGCAGCAGCAGCAGCAGCAGCAGCAAGGACATCATCGGCATTGGCATCGGCGAGGGAGCAAGGTGTTAGAGGCACACGGCGAAGGGAGACAGCGAGGAAAGGAGGCACGCATGCAGCAGCCGAAAGGCGGGCGGCCACGCCGGAGGCGCCATACCCTGCGCGATGCGGCTGCGCGTTCGCCGAGCGATGCTGCCGGAGCCCGAGCGAGAGCCGGCTAGCCGGCCGGCGGACCGGCCCTGCGGCGTGTGAAAGCGCGGGCTGGCGGCAAAGCGACCGGGCACCCGTGCCGGCGAGTAGTCCTCAAACATGTGGCCCTCCTCGAAGTCACTGAAGTAGTCGCTTGAGCTGGCGAGCCGGTCGCTGGCCGGCGGGTGGTCGCTGGCCGAGTGGTCGCTGGCCGGCCGGGGGATGGGCGACGCGCCGGCCGGCCGGCCGGCCCGCTCGTCGTCCGACAAAGAGGGGCTAGCATCCGTCTCGGAGTCCGAGCTGGCCAAATCGTGTGCCGCCAGCAGGGCGGCCGTGGTCAAATGCGTCGCATCCTCGGAGGCGCCGCTCTCCGTGCCGGAAGATGGCCCGGGCTCCGGCGAGCTGGCTGGCCGCCCCCCTCGCCGGGGCCTGGGGGCCGGGGGAGGGGGTCCCCGGGCCGGAGGCGGGCCCGGTGGTTGCGGATCTGCCCCCGGGCCGTCCACATGTGCCCCGGACTCGGGTCCGGAGCCGGCTCTGGACTCGGCTTCCGACCCGGACTCGGGCTCGGACTCGGACGCGGACTCGGGCCCGGGTTCGGGCTCGCACTCGGACCCAGATTCGGATCCGGATTCCGATTCGGAACCCGGGCCTGAGCCATTCCCAGAGTGTGCCCGCAGCGAGGCCCGATGCCGGCCCCGCCGCCGGGGGCCCCTCGGGCGCAAGACCTTGCGCACCAGGGACTTGGCCTGGAAGCTTTTGAGAATGCGCTGCGCGCGTGGAGCATGGCGCGAGTGTCCATCAAGCGACGGCAATCCGGGAGGGGCGACGGGAGGGGGTTATTTCGGGACAAGCAGGGGAGGGAAAGCAGCAGACAACCAAGGGAAGAGCAATGGGGGGCCTGGCAAAGTGGGCGAGCCGAGATCGCCCCCCCCCCCCCCCCCCCCC